TCTTCCTTCGATGGAATGTTGGAAATGCCGTACAGCACAATACATAGCTAGGAGTTCCCTACCGAACGTGCTGTACCTAGATTCCGCGTCTAGCAACCGTCTCGAAAAAAATCCTAAAGGTTGCCACGAGTTGTTAACCCATTGTTGTAAGACTCCTCCGATTGCTGAGTCGGATGCGTCTACGGCGATACTAATGGGCGCTTGAGTGTCCTGATGAACAAGCAAGGTTGCTTTAGCGATGTGTTCCTTAACTGTGGAAAATGCTTTACGGGATATGTCGTCTAAACTAATTGATTTCGCATTTCCACGAAGCTGATCCGTTAACGGTTTCATAAGGGATGCGCATTTGGGTATGAACCGTCTATAGAAACTTACAAGTCCGTTAAAAGTTCGTAAGTGCTTGATCGTGGTCGGTTCTGGGTAATCCAGAATGGCCGCCACTTTGCTCCTAAGGGGTCGGATGCCTTGGGCATCAATGGTGTGTCCTAGGACGTCTAAGGAGTTTGTTCCGATTTGGCATTTCTGTATGTTGACAGTAATGCCATGCCTTTGGAGTCGATCGAAAACAATGTCCAGATGCTTGAGATGCGATTCTCTGTCCGGACTTGCTATTAGACAGTCATCAACATACGCATGTACGAAGTTGAGACCTCGGAAGACGTCGTCTATAAACCTTTGGAGGGTTTGAGCCGCGTTTCTTAAACCAAAAGGCATTCGTAGAAATTCGTAAAGACCGAAGGGAGTGATGATGGCGGTTTTAGGAATGTCGTCAGGTGCCATCGGGATTTGGTTATAAGCTTTAACCAAGTCGATTTTCGAAAAGACAGTTATACCTTTCAAGGTAGCTGTCAAATCGTGAATATGAGGCAGCGGGTAACGATCGGGAATGGTTTTAGCATTCAGACGCCGATAATCACCAGTTGGCCGCCAATCATTGCTGTCCTTTTTAGGGACCATGTGCAATGGGGATGCCCATGGACTATTCGATGGTCGAATTATCCCTAGGTCCATCATGTGGTCGAATTCGTTTTTAGCTAACTTAAGCTTCTCGGGAGCGAGTCTTCGAGCTTTCGAACATACAGGTGGTCCTGTAGTCGAGATATGATGTGTAACTTTGCTAGTTACACAAGGCAGTTTCGATTGCGATTGGTATATCCCGGGGTATTTGTCGAGTACTGATTGGTACAAGGGGTCTATGGTGTGCTTAATCGTGACTGGGGATAACCTGCAACCAGAACAAGGAGTTACGCTAACAGATAACTTAGTGTTTCCGTCTATTAACTTTAGTGAGCGTGTGTCGATGACTAGATTGTGGTGTTGTAACAGGTCTATACCAATGATTGGCATAGAGACATCTGCAACCACGAAAATCCAGTGTATGGGTTTACGTAAACCCACGTTAAGGTAGACGTACCTTTTACCGTAAGTAGCGATCGACTTTCCGTTTGCCGCCTGTAAACTTAAAACAGACTCGCGAAGTCTGTCGTCGGGATTTGCTGGAAGAACGCTAACTTCTGCGCCAGTGTCGACGAGGTAGCGAACTTTCGTAGTCACATCCGTGACATATAAGAGGCGGCTGTGTCCGCAGGCTACGGTTGCCGTTAACACGTGCCGGCTGGGAAGTTTCCCGAAATCTTATTCGTGTCAGTCGATTTTGAAGTCGGATAATTGCAAGGTTTCCTCCAATTTCTAGAAGATTTACCGTACTGGTTGTGATACCAGCACCAGTCGGGATTGTCTGGTCGAGAGCCAGATCGCTTACGTGAAACGCTTCTACGCGGGGTTTTTGACCGACTACGGTCATTGCGAACTCTAAGATATCGTGTAAGCGTGTGACATAGTTCGGCCATGTCAGTCGAGGTCGATTGGGGTTTTTCTTTGACGGAAAAAACCTCGGCCTTAGAAGATCTAGTGATTTCCAAGATTCGATCGGCAGATGCAGCTAGTTCATCTATGGCATTGTTTTGAAATGAAACAAGCACTGCCTGCACCTGTTGATGGAGTTTAGACAAGAAAAGTTGTCTAAATAGGCCATCATCGAAAGTTCGTTGGCCGATGACTTCTCTCATTCTAAGCAACATGTCCGTCGCAGAACCATGTTGCAAGTCGATATTGTTAAGGAGTTGGTCTAACCGTTGTCGATCAGTTAGGTCTCCTCGTTTTAAAATCGATAGCTTAAGCGATTCGTAAGGTTCGGAAACATCACTAGTGAACATACTAGGTGTTACGTACCTGTTAAACTCGCGCGGTAACGCCTTAACTACCGCGAGGAAATGTGTGCGCGAGTCCGTGATTCCATGCATGCAAAAATCGGCTTCTGTATAGCAGAACCAGAACTCGATATTGTCGGGCCAAAATGGCGTTAACTGAATCGAAATAGGGGGAATAGACTTAAACTTAAGAAGCTTAGGAGAGTGTCCCGTCATAGTAATATAGATAACGAAAAATGTCTAAGTAAAATATATCGGAGAAAAAAAATTCGCGAAAAAAAGGTATATCACAATATATAAAATTCAAATAATGAATAACAATGAATAATAATATTCCAAAATGGAACAGACTCACAGTATATTGACTTGGTGTACCAGATCACGTCGGGTTCACCAATGATGATGCAACGGATGTTCTAATTTTACAACTAGTTACCAGTAGCACCTTCTATGTTCGATCGTTCCCAGTCAGATAGAAATCAGAAGTCAGACGAGAATAGGCAGGAAAGATATATTTGATTCGTTACCAATATATCGAGGACCTTTTCTATGAGCTGGCTAATGAAACGTAGGAGCTGTATCCCACGCCGAGTTAAAACGTGATCTGGTGCGGATGCATGACCGAAAGCCTTCAGTTAAACAAGTCCACTTAAACAACGTGGTCAGCATCCAATGTCGAACACTTAGAAAGCTATTGATTTTGGGGAATTATTTACAGCTACAGTATTAAGGAAATATGTTTGTTATAGCAGGTACAAGCGAAATTGCGACCGCCGCATGGGCCAGTGCATGGCGTGAGATTAACAGATGCGCGACGATTTTTATAGACTTGACGAGGACCGGTGAACTGATCGATATTCTTTGACCTTGCTGTCTGATGATTGGCTAGGGAACATTGACATTTCCCCCGTCCTACCACCTCAACAAGTGATTAAAGCTTTCAAAAGAAAGTTGGATCAACTAAGAAACCATTACTGTCCGGAATAATACAGGTCTAGCATTCTGTTCTTTCAAAAATGAAACTGATAATGAACGAATGCATGGAGAGTGACGATATTTTGTCAAGTATTACTTATTCTCACATGTTATGCACTGTTGCCTTTGAATAGTTTATTCATCATTGATACTACGGACATCATTTATGGTTTTTCAGTCTTCGTTTTAAATCTATATGAAATTTTTAATGATGTCATTTATTCCAATTTTTTTCTTATAACGATCATATTAGGACCGACTAAACAACTTCTCTGTGACGTGATGACGGATGACTCTAGGAACATTAAAGTACGCTGAAATCCAAAGAATCACACAAAATTCGATACCAAGTATCTTACAAAGTTTTTCTATGAAGATGACACTTTATTTGGTATTGAAATGTTGTGAGTTATTTCAGTGTTACTAAAATTATGGAGTCCCTGGTATGTGATGGTATATACAACTACTTATTATCCTTAAATTTCATCTAACCCCACGGCATGGTTTCAGGAAGAGCCACTGCTGTATAATCAACTTGCTGACTGCGGTGGATAGATGGAAAACCATTATTGATAGCAAGGGGAAGGTTGACGTCATTTATCTTGATTTCTCAAAAGCTTTTGACGGGGTCAACCATATATGTCTTATCAATAGGCTTAGACGATTGGTATCAAACATCCTCTGATTGACTGACTCACTTTATATCTAGAAAACAGACGTTTTAAGGTCAGGGTCAACTTCACTCACTCTCAGGCTGTGGATGTCGTAATGGGGTCCTCCAGGGCTCATTACTAGTACCTCTTCTCTTCTTGATTTAACGATCTTCCACAACAAGTATCGTCTGACTTATTACTTTTTTGCTGATGATGTGAAACGTTGGAGAGAGATACACAACCAAGAGGATATACTGGCACTTCAGGCGGATCTGATTCGACTTCAAAGTTGGGAAGACGAAAATGGACTTACCTTCAGCACTTCAAAGAGTAAAGCAGTCCATCTGCGACATGTTGCAGGCTACAGTTACAACTTAGGAAACTACTCATTAGAAGTATCCCAAGTCGAAAAAAAATTTAGGAGTGTTGGTACCCTAAGACTTGAAGTCGTACTCTAACTGTGACAAAAACGGTTTTCGGGCAAACCTTGCACTGGTAACATTGAAGCGCACTTTTGGCCAGTTTGACGGTAGGACATTCCACGTAATCTTCAACAGTTTCATTCGTCCCCATTTAGAGTATGGAAACATATTATTTCCCAACTCTCTCTGAAAGGATAAAGACACTGTAGAGCGTATCCAACAGTTAAATTAGTTAGGGGACTCAAATTCAGACCTTATGAAGAGCACCTTCAATCACTTAACCTTTACCCATTGGAGTATAGGCGTCTTAAAGGCGACCTTCTTATGACTTACAGTGTCTTTAACACTTCTGGTCATCCCCTTAAACTTCTACTTAAGCTTGGTCACAATACTAAACTAAGGGGTAACATCCAGAAACTGGAAATCCAACATAGCAGAACGGACTGTTGACACAACTTCTACTCCTTAAGAGTTGTCAAGTGCTGGAATTTGCTGCCGACTGAGCTAGTCCAAGCGACTTGTCAGGAGTCCTTTAAAAGGAAACTTGACCTATTCCTAAGGACTAGGGATAACATATTATGATTTACCAATTTCTTTTTTTATCTATTATCGTTAATATACCTAGGTTCTTGCGTGGAAGTATTGGTGATCCACTGCTACTAGACACGGAAGCCCGTTAAGCGAAAGCTTTCTATTCCATCCACAACCATTTTGATCATTTGAACCATTACTAAAGTCTCGGTGGGCTATTTGATTCATACATCTAGCCGGGATTTATCGTTGGTAAACTTTCGAAAATCCGAGAAGAGTAACACTAATCTGGTTGACCATAAAAGTGAACCTATGTATAAAATCATATCAGACACTCTTAAAGTAATTAACTTATGATCTTAAACGCATTCATTCACCCTATGTTCTTGGTACTAAAAGTGTTCATATCTTAAAGCACGCTAGGGAACTTGGTTTTGCACGAAAACATATGGACGAAACGCTTAGATTTACTAGTCGATGTGACTCTTACGCTTGGATTTAGTTTAATCTATTTGTGTCACGTCTCGATAAATGTTTACTGTGATGATGGTCCTTAATATATTACTAGGAGAGGGTTGAACGTTGAAACGGTGTTCTCAAACAACTTTTGGTGCCTTGTGATTTATGTATAAAGCATTTGATTTTTAGGTGGGTTTATACTTATGTAGGGATTGCCGTGTGTTTCCGTGTACATGGCTCGTTAAACATTTCATGTAGTAGTTCAAGGGAACTTCTAGGGGCGTTTCTTATGCGATCACTAGATATATGTTGGAGTTATACTGGACTGTGGTTGTCAAATATAAATAAATCCTAACGTTCTTATTTTTTCTTGCATAAGTAGTGTAGTATTCCCAACGATCCATGGTTTAATTTAAATAATGCTTAAAATGGGTTTATTACGTGTCGACAGAAGACAAAATCCCGAACTTCTCAATGTACACTGAAGTGCGTTATCCTAAATGTCATTCTTCTCAGTAACTGTTACTTTTCACATATTTTGTCTTTTATAAACAGACTACACCGATAATTTCTGTTTCCTGGTCAACATACATTTTTTTTAAAAGTTTTCGGGATATCAACTTTATTGTTAGCTTACACGAAGTTCATTTCCGAACATGGTTGTTCACAAAACCAGTTCTCGCGGTAAAATCGTCTTTAGATAATTCATAGCGGGTTAAACATAGCGTTCATTCAAAAGTTAAACTGATGAAAGAAATTAAATATGAAATTCAACTTAATCTACATTTGCATATGAGATAAGCATGGCTCTCGATGGTCGGAATTGAAATAACTGGTGTAAGGTTGAGAATTTAATCGATAAAGCTGAAGCACTTAAACTACTTGGATGTTTCCCTGTTCCACCTAACTGATGTAGTTCCAATTAATCCAATGCGATAGTTACTGATTAGTTATTTAAGTGAATATTAGGAGCTTATCCGACAACCAAATGACCTGCATACAACAACATAAAACCTCACACTAAAAGGTGTTAAATCGGGCTTTTATAATTTGTAATAGTGTAAAAGCAGTAAACAAACGAACTGCTATTAAGATAAAGTGTCCGCTCACGCGATTGAAAGTCCTGGGTTTGATCCCTTGTGGTGTGTTCTTGGACCCATCAATGCAGAGGAGCCCATTATTATGATAATACAATTGTCCATTGCTTCCCAATAGTAGTCTAAGATCAGTTTGTGTCATAAACAATGGAAAATATATGATTGAACGAAAAGCAATGAAAAGCTTGCAAGATACTCAAAATTAAGAGTACGAGAATGTATATTTCATTCTGGTTGCTAAACTAACTACCCAAAACTACACGTTCCCTACCACTCACGTTGATCTTAAAGTTCACATTCTTGTATCCAATCTTTAAACACATAATCGCTGATTGCGCAGTGTATCAGGTTATCTTCTATAATTGAAAGTGTTGTCTAAGATTATCATAGAGCTATCAAATTTATTAGTAGGGGTTAAGCATATTGAGTCACTATAACGTGATAATTAACCATCTACTTATGATATAATGTACTAACTTATTACTTATTATCTAGTAGTTTAATCAGACGCTAGTTTTGATGTATCAGCAGTATCGGTAGACTAGTATTATTCTTAACTCCCATATAATGCATAGCCAACCTAGCAATGAACTTTCTACTGAGCATTATAATACTAGCAATAGGGAAAAACGTCATAACTTTAAAGACGTCATTATTAAATTATCGAGTAGCATTGGCATCACAAGTGATTCGAGTTGACGAGAACTATCTTCTTTTGAGTCAGCCGAATTCGATATCGTATAGTGAGCCGAATTGACTCGTTGGATTATTTCATTTAGTACACTTATTGCGTAATGTCACTGGTCCAGGTTAAAAGCAACATAAGAAAGTACGTAACATAACCTATCTGGTTATATAATGACTGCATTTTTATTGTATTGCATTTCCTCCAGACTACACCAGTCTTCAATTTTACTTATTCTCCATTTCACCTATTAATGCTTCATAGTTTTGCGAACGTATTTATATTCTTGACAGATTGTTCGAATTTAGAAGTCCTGTGAGGTTGTAAAAATAATATTGTAACTGTATACCCTTTAAAATATGGTTGAAGTTTACAAGCTGAGATGTACTCTGTCGGGTCATAAAAGCGATGTTCGTGCAGTCGCTTGTCTTTCAGATACCAGAATTGTTTCTGCTTCAAGGGATTTAACAGCAAGGATATGGAATATTTCCAAGTTAGTCATCTTTCTATTTAAATTAATACTATTACAGTAACCGTAGTCATGATAAGTCATGCATATAGGCTATGTTGTAACTCATTATATTTATCAACTGTAAAGTATACAAAAATAAGTTATTGGACAGAATTCCTGTCGCTAGTAGGGCAGGTAGTAAAGTTTACGGAATGAGATCATAGGTATTAGCTGTTAACACAATGTATCAAAGAACGTTCTCATCACTTCACTTTATTCTATATTAGATAGGAAAATTACATAGGGTCCAGAAGCATCCCATACAAAGTCTAATAGCAATGAAGTGAAGTAAGACAAGAATATATCGATGCTCAATATTTGAACAAGACAACCCGAATGGGTACAGTCAGGAGAGAATTGTATTCTCTCCTTGAGAATCGTGCGTTATAAAACAGCACTCATTATGCAAACCGCTTAGGTGTTTTACGCGAAATGCATCAAATTAAATAACGCTTTCTGTCGTAAGATGACTTCGATTGAATAATGATCTCTATACTTAAACACCTATACTGAACGTGAGCAAAACTACTGGGACTATGATAATAGGACACAGAGTGATGAAAATCTCCACTCCCAATAAGGTCTTCAAGTACTTAACAAAACTTAATCGTGCAACCAATCTTTTCCCTGCTAATCTAACTTATAACAGTGGTGAAAGCCATCTAGGTCAGTATATATTCCTCCGTTTTTTGGTTCACAAGATTCATCTTATTTGTCACATTGTCGGTATCATACATATAATTATCCCGATACATGAATTTATCAACAATGATTTAGTGTTCACCATTAAGGGCTATTGCAGGTACGGGTTCATACGAACGTCGGTCATTTTTAGGTTTTTCTTTTTCCAACTTGGAAACTTAAACGGATACATATATGTTCCTGGTCCTGCGTTGTAGTTAACTGACTGACTTTTTCCAACTTGATGATCTCAAATAGCATTGGTAGTCACTTTTATTTATCAATTTACTATCTAAATATTACTGAGCACCTTGATAGTAGTAGTCGTTAATCTCGCAAATTATGTTATTGTAATTCATCAAGGTTTTTTAAGTATGTTGAAAATTTGACTGACAATAGATTTTTTATATCTGATAGAGAAGGTTGTGATGGCTGTGAAGATGTGGTTCTTCTTGGGCATACAAATTATGTATCAGCTGTGTGTTGTCAAGAATTAGAAAACGAATGTCGTATTCTAACAGGATCACATGATAAACTAATTCGAGGGTATAACTCCATGTCTCCAGAAGCTGTTTTCACATTAGAGGGGCATAAAGATACGGGTATGTTCTTAGTGGATATTACGTTACTCATCGGTTTCTCCGATCAGTGTGTGCTTTAGCGGTTGTAAATCAAAAAACCATAATTAGTGGTTCTTGGGATAAATCAGTAAAAATATGGAAAGAAGAAAAGTGTGTTTCTACTCTCACAGGTGAGTTTTAAACGAAAATATTTTGTAAACTTTCGAATATTAGAGTGGAAAAATGTGATAGTTTTATTAACGGGTTATCATCGGTAACTTCTGAATAGTTTCCTAAAGTGAACTAAATTCATACATCACATTCACGTTTTTTTTATTGAAAAAGTTGGGGAATTGTCTGCGAGTTGATATAATTTTTCCGGTCTTTAAAATGTCAAGTATTTATGGTGAATAATAGACTTTCTTTTTCAATCACAAAATGTTGTTAGGAACCCTTTCATTTCAGGTTATCCAGAAAAAGATTATACTGCATTAAAATAGGATAGGGGGATATAGTGTAGAGAAAGGAGAAACAAAAAAGATGAAAGATCTACTTCGAGCATATCAGTCTCATCAAGTAAAAAAGTTGGACTCTTCATAAATAGCATATTTTTCACCGTCACAGAAATAAGAGCATAATTATTTAATCATTTAGTAAATTTGTCAAATAAAATACATATTTGAACAGGGTCAGAAGCAGAAATATGTTATCGAAAATGGTATTCAACACTTACGTTTTGTAGTGTAGCAACTTCATTTCAGTAATCTGAACAGTTAGCTTGTTTAAATTTACTTTTTTAGTGACGTCTGACTGGTCATTTATCATCAAATGGTAAATGTTACTCAAAGTCTATTACTTGATCTTGTTAGCTTTACTAATCTATTAGGGAACCGTGAAGAATATTTTTAGTTTGTTGTCTACATAATATAATAGAAGTGATCTCTCAATTGATATTGTTTGCAACATTTATCATGAGTATGAATATAGGATAAAAAAATACACTATCACAACTAATTCCGACTATAAATGATGTAACAGGTTAAGCCGTCCATTGTTGTTCCAGCAATTTGATGATCAGTTCGTTGTAATTTTTACCAACATATTCGATGGTAATTTATTAATAACTTCCTATTATTTTATGTAGTAAAATTGGCAGTTAATTCTCTTATGTGTAGGACATGAAGCAGCAGTATGGTGTGTACTCGTTATGTCGGCCGTAAATATAACCGGTCATGTTGATGATATGATTGTTATCTCTGGTTCAGCTGATCGAACTATACGTATATGGTGCCTACGTGGTCTTAATCAAGATATAAGTTTGCCTGACATAATTTTATTGAATTCTTTAAATGAACACAAAGACTGTGTACGCGCCTTAGCACGTATTGATGATTCACGATTTTTATCAGCAAGCAATGATGCCAGTATAAGAGCTTGGGATGCTACTACGGGCAAATGTATTGGAGAATTTTATGGGCACACAAATTTTGTTTATGGATTGGCTTGTTCGCCTAATTTTCCAAAATTTGTTTCCTGTGGTGAAGATAGAAGTATTCGTGTCTGGCTTTTGCCTTCGGCAGGTGAATGGGCTCCTGAAAAACATTTTAGTTGCTTTCAAACTATTCTATTGCCGTGTCAGTCCGCGTGGTGTGTAGCTATGGTACCGAATGGTGATATTGTTGTTGGAGGCAGGTAATTATTAAATGTTAAAAGCTGTATAATCTAGTTTGAAATCTAATGGGATTCTTACATCTTCCTGAAGTAATCTAACGTGATATTTTTTAATTTTGATAAATCCCTTCCACCTAAATTATAAAATCCAGACTTTAAACTTTTTACAATTTATTCAAACCCCTACTCCCTCTTTGATGATAAAGAAAACCGTTTGAAAAAGGTGTATTGCGCAAACCTAATCTAATTACAGTCAGCTATGAAACGTCCAAGTTAACGATGATTATGTACATGTAACACATGTTCCAGTCATTTTCGCTGCTGTTAACTTGGTGTTGGTTTCATTCAGGCGTGAAGTGAATACTGTATTTCATGGTTTTTAATTTGGGATGAATAATTACCTGTAATCGTTCAAAAGTACATTTGTTGGAGGGTGAATTGTACAGAGATAATTTGTGTCCAAGTAGGCTAGATTGAAATTCACAGGTCGTGAATATTTTGTATGAAGTTCTACATCTTTTTTAATCGACTGACTGATTCAAGGTGAAAGTTGTTTACTAATTTTCAGCTTAGAATGAATGCTGCAATGGTTGTAATGCTCAAATCATTTGGTTTTTAGTTTGTCGGTCTGAGGTCCGAACTCCATTTTACTTACTGCCGTTTGAGCAACCGAGTAGTATTCGTTGCTCTCACACAACTAAAATATAGTTCAAAGCTGATTGCATAAGTTTGCACTCGGCTCATGAGTAAATCAATCAGTCGACTCTCCAGCTGATTTCAGCCTCAGTCCATAATATCTACTTGGAAGACAATAACGATAAAAATATGCAGTCATTGCATTTAGCCAGTGGATTCATTTTCATCAAATTGCTAATTGGGATAAATGTTAAATAATAGGTGATGTAGTTAACAATCCTTCAGCTTATTTCAAATGTTCTTAATTTTGATTGTTATTAGGAATGATTTGGTATAAAGAGAAGGTAAAGCCTATCAGATGAATTTTATCTGATTGGCTTCCTTTATCTCGATAGACTATCTAACTTCATTAAGTTGATCAATTATACTAAAGGCAATTTATACGCTCTATTTCTTTCATAGTGATTCAGTGATTCGGATATTTTCATGTGATTCAACACGACAAGCATCTTCAGATGTCTTGAAACTTTATGAGACAGAATTAGCCAATTTTAAGGTTACAGTTCCTGATTCTTCTGGAACTGGAGATTTAGTTTTGAACAATTTACCGGGAGTTGAGGCTTTAACGAAACCAGGTATTTCATGATAATTCGTTTGTACTTATCAATATTTCCTTGTATATGTTCCTATCGTGTCATTACACAGCTAAGGAATTGTTAATTTGTTCATTCAATGTCGAACCAAATGCCAGTGTAAATTAATAGCGTTCTGTTAACCAACTCAGTATTTTATACACAATAATAGTGATGAGTATAAGTTGAACATTTATACAATTCTACATTTTTTTTAGATAAACCAGGTGACTTATCCAATACTCGTCTTTCATCCTCACTTTTTTGTATGAGTGACAGTGATACTAACTAACTGTCCAAACTTAAGTAGGAAGGGTTTGAAACTGAAATCTATCAGTTGGTGCATATTAAGTGTTTTATTCACAATGCAATACTGCCTCATATCACTTGACATGGAAATAAAATATTGTCATATTGTTTATTGTCATTACTTACACTGTAAACTTTTATTTTAATCGTGTACACCATACTAAGGAAGTGTATTTTATGATTATGGAGAAAATTTACAGCTCAGGTGGATGATTTTGGTCGAGTTTATAGCCAAGTCTTAAAGTATCATTCTATTCCAGTAGATCAATAAGACGTACTGTTGTTTATGTATATTTATGAAACCAGTTGCTTTTAGTTCTTACTGTACAACCACATGATAGATTTATATTCATGGACTGTAGAATTTCAACTGATTTCGGAGATTTTTGATTAAAGGCAGTAATTTTTTAGCACAAATTCAATAAATATGAAATTAAATTACATGTTATTAAGGCTATAATTTTTCTTTGACTATATCATTGTAAAAATTGGTTTTCTCAAGTTATGATTACTCACTTAGCAGTGAAATCCAAGGTTTGTGTTTCATCCGAGTTGGTGTCTATCTGATGATTGTAAGTTCACCCTAGTGTTCATCTTCACGCAAAGACTCGAACCTAGTACCTATCTCTTTAAAGTCCAGAGTGTTGAAAGTCAGGTTACGGAGTCATGATTTACATCCACTTCGACGGATGACTAACTAAAGTGCGAAAACGCATTCTGGATTTTGTTACTAACCTCTGTCCTAACTATAGGTAATCTCGAGGTATCTGTTCTAGGAGTCAGTCAGTCAGCTACAACGTAGGACCAGGCACATATATGCATCGGTCCAAGTTGCCATACCTCGTTAGCACAACAAGATGAACACCGGATTCATAGTAGTTAATTTAGTGTTGGTAGTAGTATATAAATTATAGGTTGTATATAAGGATATAGTACAGGAAGGAAGAGAGATATGAAGCAATTTTAGTCTCAAGGTTTAAGGGAAGATAAAGAGTGCATACACCTACGCCATTGTGATCGATTCTGAGCCATGTCACCTAGATAGTCACGCGGATCCCAACCAGGTAGTCTGCATCTGCCAACATGGCTCAGACTAGAAGTTAGTGACTTCAGACACTGATGCCATGTTTTGGTTTGGCCGCCCCTAACTCTCTTCCAGCAATCCCCTACACTAGTCATCATAGCGCGTCGTGGTAATCGGTGTTCAGGCATACGTAACACATGGCCCAACCATTTCAGTCGATGAAGATTCATGACCTCATCAACTGATTTACCATCATTCCCTAATACCCTGTGTCTAACCTCACTATTACTTACCCGGTGATCCCAGCAGATGCGAGCAATATTTCTAAGGCATCTGTGGTCAAATACTAGTAACCTACGAGTATCTTCTACTCCTAATGGTCATGTTTCACAGCCGTAAAGTAGAACAGAGCGAACTGATGCGCAGTATACTCGTCCTTTAATTGATAGACGGATATCTCGTCTTCGCCATAAGTGACGTAAGTTGGCAAAAGCCAAACGAGCTTTTCGAATCCGTGCTGAGACTTCGTCAGACACCAACCCATTAGGGCTGTTCTAGGATCTCATATGCCACTTGAGATTGGTTAAATTCAGCCTTGAATGTGAACAATAAAAAAAGTACACATCTTTAAAAATAGAAATAGGTATGGTTACTGTTCCATAAATACTTATTTTCCATCATTAATTTTGATTATGTAGGGAAATCGGAAGGACAGATCATGGTTATTAACGACGATGGTCGTTCTGTTTGCTATCAGTGGTCTTCACAAGATACTCGGTGGATTAAAGTTGGTGACGTTGTAGGAAGTCAACCTTCTAATCGTCAAGTCCATGAAGGCAAAGTAAGCTATTATTGTCTCTCGGGCTTCATTAATTTTGTCGCTTTTGTTAACTGTTATATGAAGTTTGCATGTCGAATCTTATTACTTCAGTTACTGGTAAAGATTCAGTTCTATTGTTGCTGACTGGTAGAAATAAGTCTTTCTTTACTCATGAATTCCTGTCAAATAAACACAGTGATACGTCGTCACATTATCTGTCCAACCATCAATTTTTACCTTGTTGTAGAGCAAACTTCAATCGTTATTTGTGTTAAGATCATTTAAGTACTACTTTGTTTGGTATTGAACCCGTAACAAAGCAAAATAATTGATGGTTAGAGCGATAATGTGATATGTTTGAAAGCTCATTTGATTAAAATGTTTATATGCGTTCATGCTCTTGTAGTGCGATGCTTCGCTAATCTTTCACCTCGATAACCGTTATAATACAAATCTTAACAGTGCGTAAAACCAGAAGGCAAAAAGAAGCTGCAACCACAGTTTTTTATCAAATGACGCAGGCCAAAAAGCTACAAACATGTAAGTACCAGGTAGCAAGCGCAAGCAATTACACAGGCAAATTTATAGTCATGGGCGCAGCAAAAACAAAGCAAAAGCTAATAATAGGATTAGAGTGCATACACATTTGGGAAGGAGGATTAGTCATCGGATGGTATTTAAGCAATCAATGTTTCGGCTAGAGTCTGTCAAGTACTCTAGTGACCATAACAGTACAAATGAATATGCGAATTGTTACTATCCAAATGACAATGTCTGTTAAGTAAGTAAATAAAAGGGCTTAACCAAAATTAACCATAATCGAAATTGGGTGTAGGATAAGACATTAAATAGGAATAATATATTTGTAAAATCTCAGCGAATGAATTTTTTTAAATTAAATCCAACGTTTCGCCTGGCAATTTGGTCCAAGCTTTTTCAAGGAATTATATATTATGGGTGTAGGATAGTTGCTATACTTTTGTACTGTAAAAAGTAAATACATTTAATAAATGCATTTAATATCTAATAATCTTTTGAAGATTCCAGTACTTTGTTATTTTTCTTTGTTTATTCCCTAAAATCAAACTTTTGTTAGAATACAGACAATTTATTAGGACGCTTTGATCAATACAATGAATTGGATTTTAGTAGCTTTACTGAAAAGATTTGAAATAGTTAATCCCTTTCATTTGCCAGAACTATTCTTTAGATTAGCTTAATACATTCTGAATACATTTATTTTTGCTCTTGTTTGGTTAATTTGACCACTATTTTTATTATTTATTTTAACACATAAATATTGGTACAAGGAAGCACTAGATAAATATGCGCCTCACAAATCTCATTTGATTTGTGTGAGGGCTGTGATACTGCCCAGGTGCCCAGACTGAAGCAGGTGGTTTTCTTAGGGGGCCACACCCGGAGCCTTTGACCTGAATGTCTGATCCACAAGGCAGTGGAGCATCGTGAGGAGATGCAGTCCCATGGTAGCCGGTGATCAACGGTTGATTCGTACGCCATTTGTTCCCTCAGGATACTGGAGCCCATGTGCACCACTGGTTTGGAATGAGGGTTTTCCAACTCCCCTAGGTGGACCCTCCATGTCCACCAATCCGGTTAAAGCGCCGGACATTCGCTTTTCGTCCTCTCACTTTCGTAAACAACGCCGGTGCCACGAGAAAGCAGTGAGTAGGACATCCCTTGTAGAGACTATATTCGCTGGCCATATGAGAGCATTTCGAGAGGGAGAGGTGACTCTCCCCACTCTCGGCCGTACCAGGGCATTTGGGGGCCCACTATATGTTATATAAAGTCCTAATATATTTTAATGAATTTATATTTAATGAATTATAAGTGTTTTATGTTCCCCGTTTGTACCCCACAGGTAGTATTAGGTGCTTGAAGGTTTGAGATTCGTTTTGATAATAATTCGCCTACAAATTTGAAGCCTAAATCCTAAAATTCGCTCTAACTGTTCTTAAAAACCATATGTTTTTAGGCGGAGTACCATTCACTCATTTTGATGACTTTACCGTATCTTTTGATCAGTTTAATTATCTTGTCGTTAGGGTCCATAGTATTACCCTATGCACTATCTATAGTCCGATTTTTGTACAGTAAACTCATTAATTAATTAATTAACAATATTTTTTGTAGGGCTGCTACATGAGTCTTTAAATTCTTTTTTAATACCAAGCTTACCTACTTCTAGAATCACCCCTAAACTGAGAAAGTCTACGGTTTCTACGTTTACTACAGGAAGTTTTTTAATGCTCAGTGATTTTGGTGCATTCAACAACACTTAAATATATCTCTTGATTTTGTCAATAGTTTACACTTTTAAATTACAAGTGATTTACCAAGTACAGATTCTGTACTGCGCTTTAAGCCACACCACTTTTGTTTAAGGGCTAATAACGCTACTCGGCTTGGGTCGGGTTTCGAACGGAAGATCTGTTAGTTAAAGCTTTATTCTCTAGTCATTGGACCGTCACTACACAATTGGAGTATGAAATTTATAACAATATAGGTCGTTTAGATAGATATCGCTGTACAATCGACCTCACAAGTTTGCTTAATATCTCTTAACCTTCATTTTATTTATTTTGTTGCTCAACTATTAATCATTGCTTATTTCATGTGCATATTTTTAAAATGTGTATTTGGTCCGTTTTATAACACTATTGTTTATATTTCATCTAAGGAATACGATTTTGTATTTACGGTTGATATTGACGATAGCATGCCTGGGCTTAAACTACCTTACAATCGTACTGAAGATCCCTGGTTTGCAGCTCATTCTTTTATTCAAAGACATGATTTACCTTCTGGTTATCTGGATACAGTTGCTAATTTCATTATTAAAAACGCAGGACCTCCGATTAATCCAGTTGTCAGCAATGATTTTTCTCATAGTGATCCTTTTACTGGAGCACATCGATATATCCCGAATAGCTTTTCTTCGACGGTAACCAAGTCCACCACAAATGGGGTATCAGTTTCTACATCTTATTTCCCATCCGATACCTTCATATCTATGAAATCAATCAGTCTTGACCCCTTAATGAGTAGGTCAATTTTTGATATTTCTATGTAATTAACCTTTAAAATATATAATTCCACTTGTACATCATTTTGTTGTTTGGCCTTCTAATCGTAGTTGTTTATTATTGGTTAGTTTAGTATATTACAAATAATGGAATGCAAACGTACTATACTTTGTGATGAGATTCTAAGTTAGTAACTTTATCACTAATATGCGCAATCAAAGCCGAAGTTGTTAGTAGTGTTCCCATTATTATTATTATTATTATTATTATTATTATTATTATTATTATTATTATTATCATTATTATCATTATTATCATTATTATTATTATTATTATTATTATTATTATTATTATTATTATTATTTGTTATGACTTGGTCAAGGTCGTCGCCAATTGTTGACTTTACAAAATAAACAAAGGACGTATCCTAATTCGTTATTGGTATTTATGTCCGGCTTTTATTCACGTGAATTATCCACCAATGGAAATACGACTTCTTCGACCTTAACACTGTGACAATCAATGACGTTCAATCACTATGAGTAATCTAGCGTCCTTATTGGTCCTTTATCCGCCTAGCCCTTCCACTCGAGTCCAGAACACCAATGACAGCTTCTGTTATGCCAATCTATGCGAATCGTTTATTTCAAACGTGATCTGTTTATATATCAGGCAGACAGACCACATCACACCATAAAATAGGAAATAATATTTGTACAAAATCAAGCCAAATGTGGCTGTGAACGTGGGGGACAATAATCAATAAACTGAGTATAATTTAGGGACAGTAAATCGTATAATAATAATCCATAGGTCAAAATGAAGCTTATAATAAGATAAATATAGATATACATAAACTAGTTACTGAATAGTAAGCAGAGATGGATAGTGGCTAGCAGTGGAATCCAGGACGCGCGTTTCGTCCTATTTGGGACTCGTCAGCTGGATGTACCTGCATCTCAGAGTTGATGTTCACTCTGGGACTCGAACCCAGTACCCTCGCTTCAAACATCCAGCTGACGAGTCCCAAATAGGACGAAACGCGCGTCCTGGATTCCACTGCTAGCCACTATCCATCTCTGCTTACCATGCTTGTGAATTAAGGTATATCGAGGCAATACGCACAGTATGCACATATGCCAATTAGAGACTGACCAGTTGCAGTCCTAAACACATCGATGGGAAGATCCAAACAAACAATACTAAGTGAATTCAAACTTCACCCCATCGCACAAGCAAGTGGCTATCAGGACTCAGTGGCCGAGTGGATAACGCGATGGCGTTTGAAGCGAGGGTACTGGGTTCGAGTCCCAGAGTGAACATCAACTCTGAGATGCAGGTACATCCAGCTGACGAGTCCCAAATAGGACGAAACGCGCGTCCTGGATTCCACTGCTAGCCACTATCCATCTCTGCTTACCATGCTTGTGAATTAAGGTATATCGAGGCAATACGCACAGTATGCACATATGCCAATTAGAGACTGACCAGTTGCAGTCCTAAACACATCGATGGGAAGATCCAAACAAACAATACTAAGTGAATTCAAACTTCACCCCATCGCACAAGCAAGTGGCTATCAGGACTCAGTGGCCGAGTGGATAACGCGATGGCGTTTGAAGCGAGGGTACTGGGTTCGAGTCCCAGAGTGAACATCAACTCTGAGATGCAGGTACATCCAGCTGACGAGTCCCAAATAGGACGAAACGCGCGTCCTGGATTCCACTGCTAGCCACTATCCATCTCTGCTTACCATGCTTGTGAATTAAGGTATATCGAGGCAATACGCACAGTATGCACATATGCCAATTAGAGACTGACCAGTTGCAGTCCTAAACACATCGATGGGAAGATCCAAACAAACAATACTAAGTGAATTCAAACTTCACCCCATCGCACAAGCAAGTGGCTATCAGGACTCAGTGGCCGAGTGGATAACGCGATGGCGTTTGAAGCGAGGGTACTGGGTTCGAGTCCCAGAGTGAACATCAACTCTGAGATGCAGGTACATCCAGCTGACGAGTCCCAAATAGGACGAAACGCGCGTCCTGGATTCCACTGCTAGCCACTATCCATCTCTGCTTACCATGCTTGTGAATTAAGGTATATCGAGGCAATACGCACAGTATGCACATATGCCAATTAGAGACTGACCAGTTGCAGTCCTAAACACATCGATGGGAAGATCCAAACAAACAATACTAAGTGAATAGTTACTGAATAGTTATACAATAAGAATATGTAGAGAATAATCGTCCACTAATAGGTCCTGGGAGTTATCTGTACTCATGTCTTCGCCAGGATATAACATTATTATTATTATTATTATTATTATTGTAACGTTTTATACTTACGGTATTCCGTCACAACTTGATAATCGGTTTTGTCCACTAACTATTTATGAGGTAAATAATCGTAGATCGGTTAACAATCAGTCAAGTTATTTTAATGGCGGTTAGTAATATGACAGTTTGTCAATTATTAATTATAATTATTGATCGCCAATTTTAGAAACAGTCATACTGATCAATTAAAGTGATAGCTTAGTGGTTGTAAGTTCAAACGCTGTTTCATCTAATTTGGTTCTGGTATTCAGTCAGTATCATCAACCCATATTTCAGTTCAAAAGCGCAACTTGAAGCTGAATACATGCAATAATGTCTGGTCATTGAGTGCTTTTAAATTTAATTTGATTTTAATTCTAGTTGTCTTAATTAATCAACTAATATTATCGCTTAATGTAGGCTTCTAATTAGTGTATTTGGGGCAAAGATGGAGTCAGTCGTCAAGATTGCCTACAGGCTCGTTACAAAAGGAATTATTTTTTTGTGAACATTCTGTGTGCTTGGTAATCGTATATAATTGCCATTGAGTTTGTTAATAAATTCGGTCATACATCTGATGTTTCCTCTTCAATTCACTTTTCGATTATATCCTATATATGAAAACCGCTACACCTGTTTTGTATTATTTAAAATCTTAAATTGGTCTATATTTAGGTTAAGAATTGTTGCATGAAATCAGTCATTCTGGTCTTTTAATTACAAATGTGTGGGTAAATATTACTAGCGCAAACTAAAAAACGCTGATGTTTGTCATTTTCTTCTTTTACATACAGCTAAACTAGAATCGTTCAATGTCCAATCACCGATCCCATTAAATAATGAATTCTTAGAAGCATGTAGAAAATTCAACATTGATGATTGTACTGAAACTGAAGCTGTTTATCTTACTACTTATATTCTAGATGCAATAAACAAATGGACTCCTGGTATGTTATCAAGTTTAATATATTGTTGTCATATGCCTATTCATACGTCACATTATGCTTCGATACAGTTCACAAATAAAGTAACTATCGTATATTGAAGTTGTTTCAAGGTCTGTATTTTAAAATGAGGTAATTATTTTTTTGGTGAAGGTATTAATTATTATTAGTTTAGCAAATTTGTATCCATTCACATCATCACAGCGAGGGGAAATCAACAAGACAAATGGACTAAAGAGTTAGAATATTAATTTTATCGACAGTAGTAACAAACAGAAAAATGCAATTTAAAGAAGTCTAAAGAAAAGGAATGAGATCGAGGCATAAAATGTGTAGAATAATAATAATTTCAAGGTTTAGCTGATTATAAGATAATGCGTGGATATGCATAGCGACAACTGATTTTAAACTAATTCACCCAGTTTTCAACCAAAAATAATGGTTTTAAAATGAATTCCAACTAAAAAGAGCCAGGACTTCGATAAGCATTTCAGATCAATTACTGAACAAACTACTCCAAATATTTTTTAAATAAATCTTGATGCCATTCTACATGAAGCAAAAAAGCACTTAGTAGCTGTGCATACTTGACACATATTCTGTTCACTTTAATGGTTACTATTAAACAGTCTCACTATCACATCTTCCTAGTACACCAACATTAATGCTGTTTACTCTTTGGTTTCCCCTAAGTGTAAGCAATATTTATAAAATATCGATGATAAATTATTAGTAACCTACATATTATCCATCAACCATGGAATACCGTATCTGACATCCATTACATATTGTAAATGATGCATAGTATACTCATTATTTGTTAAGTAAACAGAAATTCGGCTTTATTATGAGTTGAAAATAGTGCGTAATTACCAATATGCAGAAAAGCTCAATAATGAATATTGCATACATTTAATTCATCATAATTTTGTAGTCTTCAGAAGGGGTTTTGTGGAGTCTTCATAAATAATTGGAGTTTTTTTTAGAAAACTTCATTTTCAGTGAAAAAGCAACATAATTTAAGTACCAACTTACAATGATTAATCAAATATATTTAAATTGTTTTAAAATTGATTTTAATTTCTTTCTTTCCTTTTTTCATAGATACAATATTTCCTTTATTGGATATTTTACGTTGTTTAGTCTTTTGGCCGATATCCAGTGATATTATATTTGAAACAACAAATTGGAATCATTTATTATCAATTAGTTTTAATAATCCTGATTTGTCAAGTGCAAATTGTTTATTAATGTTACGTCTATTAGTAAACTCTTTAGCTGCAGATGGTCCAAGATTTATTGATACTATTAAGCGTCAGTCTGTGTCATCATCATCATCTTCATCCTTAACGAATAGTAGTGATAAACCAAATATTCCACCAAAATCTTTGATTACTGCTGTTGGAATAACTGGGAGATTGATTGAACTTGTTAATGATAATAAATTGCAGTTTGCAATACGTAAACCACAACAGGTCAGATTTTATTGTATTTTTCGTATTATTTTGTGATTAGGCAATTAATTAAAACTGTTCAATTTAAAACTAGTTTTTATCACAAATTTGAGAACTTGTCGAACCATTGAAAACCTTAGCTAGTTTGGTACATATGTTTCGTTTTAGCCTAATTATTTTCAATAGAGCAGATCCATGACTTTGATTGTAACAGAATCTGAAAATTTCAGGTTTCGTCGTCAGCACGATACTGTTAGACCATCGATTCTAGACCCAGTAGTTCAGATTTAAAATTCCCATCCATTTGTGATATTGTATAGCTCTCATCCTTTATCATTGGTAGCGTTATTCTTACTCTTGGAATAGTTTTGTATTTTTTTTCATGGATAATAGTTACTGCCAGTGGCTTGAAAATATGGACGTTGTGTTGTTTTATGTGTTGATGTTCTGTATACGTCAAGTTCTATGATTTTCCTGTTTCAAAATTTTTACTAATTCAATTTTTAAGTAGTTTGTTGGTATTTATCAATCTGTTGTTTACAACAAACTTACAAATTTTGTTTTATATTTTTAGATTGCGTTGGCCAACTTGATGTATAATATTTCTGTACTTGTTCATTTGTCGAAACCGTTATCTATCGAGTCAAATATATTTCCGCAACTGCGTTTTATATCTGGTGTTTGTATTCGAATAAGTCTGAATATTTTATCACTTGCCTTGGATCATGGTTGTAGTGGTGTTACACAATTACACCCTGAAGCTGTAAATCACTTATTTGTATCAATTGGCACCTGTTTATTATCAGTAACTTCAGGGTTAAATTCAACAGAAGAGCAGTTAAAAACACAACGTATTCGTATTCTTGCATCAGCTATGATTGGTTTGAAAGATTTATCTCGAAGTGTTGATAATGATGTAGTTATTGATAATAATGTTGGTGAATTTACCGCCTGGGAATCAGTTCGAAAAATTATTAATTACTGGATAACAACACCTACAGTTTGTTCTAATGTACGAGCATGTGCATCTCAATTACTTTCAATTTTAGAATAAGATAATAGTACCAAGTGACTAAAAACAATATTTGTACTTTCTAAAAATTTACACTTTTTGCTTAATATAACTGTTTTAGATTGTAAATTTTAAGCTTGAATGAATATTTTCTTGAGTTTGCTCGTTTAAGAAATATTCATATCAATGTATGTGTATCATTTTCCCTTTACTGAATTTTCATTTTTGTAAAGTGTTATGACGGTCCGTTTTCCTTTTTATACGAATGGGACGTTAATTTACCTTAGACGAATAGCTACAATAGATTCCCTCCAATTGTCTACTCTACATTGACATTTTTCAGATACCTATTGCAGACTGGTATTGGGATCCTGTTCGATCTTCGATAAAATCCGTGTTCTAATATCTACATCTACTGAAGATTGTAGTTCACAGACAAAAATAAATCATTTAGACTGATCTGAGGACATTTCCTGTAACCGGAACCGCTCACATTCCCAGTTCACGATGCTTGCATATGTCACATAATCGTCCTGTGGTTTTTTCTTACAAGCTTGAGACACTGGTATCTAGTGTGAAAAATTGATGATCGTTCACCAAATATACATGTCAAGCATTCTACTGTTTCTCTGAAGGTTATGTCGGTTAGCTTCTTTGGAAAAATTAAATTACAGAACTTTTCATGTTCAGAAATTCCAACCTTCCGTAGTAATAATCTTAGTTTTGAATCTTTGTCCCATTCTTTACAATCATTAATAAACAAATCCTCATGGCGTTTAAACCACGTCTCCAAAGTAATCCCACTTTCTGGATCAAATCTAAATTCATTTATTAAATGCGCAATATGATTCGGTGTCATAGTTGAACTAGATATCTGAGTTCTTGGTGGTACCTACATGTTTTTGGTCAATAATTCGATAAGAGCACTTTGTTGTTGCAATAAAGATTTTAGATTATCCATTTTATTGTTACAAAATCCACTTTAACTGAATATGTAGGCGCAGATTTGTTTTAACGACCGTCGCCAATGTTAGAACGGTCCGTTTTCCCTTTTACACGAATGGGACGTTAATTTACCTTAGACGCATATCTATACTAGATTCCCTCCAAGTGTCTACTCTGCAGGACATCAACACGACTCAGATCAAGAACACGTGATTAATCTGACTAGGACGTAAATACATTTCCACACCAAACCGACACAATCAAACAACAAATGGACAACCAATCAATAATCAAGATAATACTGACAGGAGATTATAAAACTCATCTAACACCTGTCAGACTATCTACAAGTTTGACTATACAAAACAACCAATCATTCTCGCCCACACGTAAAGTCTTGTGAATTTGTTCATATTTTATAAACGTACATTGTTTTTTGTACAAATATGTGGGCTTTTTTCATTGTCTTTGTGATGTAGATACTGATTTCATGTATAGTTTTCTGCCTACATTATTATCTTGCATCTTGGATCACTTCAATGATTATATATATATATATATATATATATATATATATATATATATATATATATATATATATATATATATATATATATATATTACCCTCGTATCCAGCATTAAAAACATACGGTTAACTCATTTCTATGTCCTGGGTGTGTCGTTCAATAAATGTTCCACTTTTAAGCCGAAAAATTGACAAAGTGTAATGAATTTATTTTATGATTCAAACTGATGATAATTTTCTGTTCGAATAAATGTTATGGTCTAAACCCAAATCAATCTCATACAGGTTTGTATGCTGATTAAGAAACTACACCCTTTATGTGTTGGTTAGTTAACTATACAATCCGCAATTAATGCTAAATTGTAAAGATCGTATGACTCAGTTATAGAAGTTCGTGTATCTGAACAGTATACTGTGCGAACCAAAGTACGTGAAGTTAATAAAATCAATTAATAATTTCTCTGTTAATAAAACATAAGATGGACAGCGTCTATATGCACCCCTACTTAAATCGAAATATAATACATAGTTTGTATCTACGTACAATAAGCTAAAAGTGAATTCCAGATCACTTACATCACCTTTCTTATATTTACTGTATTTTCTGTCCAAACTGATTCTTTTGAATTCAAAGTTTCATTCATAACTTCCTCTTGATCATTCATAATAATATTAATAAATGTAAATTACAATAAAACATTTTGGTCTCCATAGGATCGGATCATATATACAAATAGAATTTTTTTTGAAATGTTCGATTGATAAAATCTTCTAACATAATCCTCTAGATAAACAACACTAAATTCTCCGAAAGTCATTTGGAAACATATTTACCTGTTACAATACTTCGACATTTGAATCGGGTTAGTGTAATTTAAAATGGGATAATGACTGCATTCTGAAATTATAAACAGATCAACTTGACTGTACCTTAGCTAATGTATAACCTCTTTGTAATTGTTGGTGTTTCCTTATGACAACAAGTTCATATGTATGTACAACGTACTAATACCACTTTAAACGGTAATTATTATTGTTATTTGAATCACTTAGTTAATAATTCAATGTCAACTATTTGAAATGTTAGATCTCAGCTTGAAAGTAAATAAATCCTTAAAACTAATTTATCTAGCAATCAAAAACTAGGTATTACGTTTTTATATATTCTATGTAAATGAGTTAGATATTAAAATCCCATTTAAATCTGATAATTAAATATATTGCTCATCTATTTGTAATACTCGAAGTTATGCGTTGTATTAAGCAGAGCAGACAGCAAATACATTACTTACTTACGCCTGTTACTCCTCGTAGAGAAGCATAGGCCTCACACCAGTTTTCTCCATCCAACCCTGTCCTGAGCAATCCTTTCCGGTTGTTATTCATCCTTTTCATATCTGCTTCTATTTCTCGGCGTCATGTGTTCTTTTGCCTTCCTCTTTTCCGCTTCCTTTTCGGTTTCCAAGTTAGGGATTGTCTCGTGATGCACATTGGTGATTTCCTTAATGTATGCTTTATCCACTTCCAACGTCTTTTCCTAATTTCCTCTTCAGCTGCATGCTAGTTTATCCTCTCCCACAGAAGGCTGTTGCTGATAGTATCCGGTAAATAAATGTTGAGTATTTTGCGTAGAAAACTGTTGTACTTTCTTGACGATGCAAGTAGTAGTCCTCCATGTTTCAGTTCCGTACAGTAGGACCGGCAATAGCTCCCGGAGAGGCTACAGGCGGAGTTCAGCAAATAAATGTATTGAAATAAATAATAAGAAATATAGTAATGTACTAATTTCTTAAAAAAAATGATTTGTATGGTTACTATCGAAATTACGGAATGGTCATTAATATAGCTGAGTTTGAGTGTTATAAAATCATAGAATTTCTTAGGATATTACGTTAATACATTTATAGATAGGTGACCAACTATCTGGTAAAACAACCTGGCAGTTTAATAAAGTTGAACAAATTATAGCAATATGTCCTCGTAACAAAACGATACAAATGCATCGAGCATTAGTAAGAGCTTTGTATTATTTTGCACACTATTTGAATGATTAAAGATTTACATGATTCAATAAGAAGACGGAGATTATTAGGATTATGTGATACATTAGCGCATACATATTAATAAAATTTCTATATGGGGAATAAAAGTTTAACTAGATAACGGTAATATGAAGCAAAACAAGCATAACAAAGATAATAGGGTGTTCCTAGCATGACAGTGTCCTGAATAAGTACATGTGCAATCAGAATGCTCAGTGTATTGCTCTAATGTATCACATTCTTTTGATAATCTACATCTTCATACTGAATTATTTATATTTAAATTTCTAAAAACGCTAGTAGTTTAATTACTAAAACAGACTTGTATTATTCTAATCTCAGGTTTAGATAATATTGAAGTCAAAATCTAGTGCATTATTATGACGTATCTTAGTGAGTTAAACCGTTTTTTCTGTGACTGAAATATTAATGAATAGTTCACAACGTCATTTTACCATCCATATTTGAAAATTATGCTTCAGAAACTAAACTACTTAGAAATAGTATCGCTTCTGAATGGTTCATAAATGCACAATATTGCTTCAGTACTGGTCTAAATCAACTCCTGAAATAATGGTAAAGAGTGAAGTGCCAAAGCGAGTCGATCACTTCACTGATTTCGGAAGTTTTGTCTCCCGCTTATGGGTTGGTATTTGATAGAATTTCGTCACGAATTCAGAAAGCTCGGTTATCTTTTTACCGACTCTTGTCATTTGTGGCATAGACGAAAGACTGCCGACCAAAGGACGAGTATGCTGCCCAGCAGTTAGCGCACTTCTACTTTCAGTCTGAAACATGCGCATCAAGAATAGAAATCTATACATTGAACATTTAAGCCATTATCATTTTAATGATCTTTAGATTATACCCTAGATCAGTGTGTCAGTCTTCCACATTCTATTTTATCCAGTAATTTATAAAATCGACTTAAACTGATGATGTTAATGTTTTCAACCTCTGCTTTTGGGTCCATTACGTAGGAACCCCTTGTGTTTTTGGAAACTAGATCATTCAATCTAATTCATGTCTTTTCTGTTAGAAGATTTTCTAAATATCCAATTGACTTCATGCTTTCGTTTTGTTTATTCATCATCGTAATCTTTTTAATATTCCGATAAATTGTAGCTTTAATGTTATTTTAAAGTTGTACATTTTATATCTGTCGAACTAATAGACCCATAACTATGAATTTAATAAATTACTATTAACTGAATATTTGCTGTAATGCATATTAGGGATATTAAGTGAAACAGTCGCTAACAAATTCTACGTTTGATTATTTAGCTGGTGTTAAGTAGTGATTACTTGGCAGGAAACTGTGGGTTTGGGTTTTACGCGATCCCATATTCGTCAGAAAAATGTACCTACAAGCAATCAATAGCTGAATGGTAATGTATCTAATAAGAAACAGTGTAACTCAGGTCAGTATCTCCCATGAAGCATTATCATCCTTAAGACTTCAGGTACACTTTGTTGACGAGTCCCGACAGGCTTAAAATCTAGCCTGAGAGTTTCCTGTCGACTATTGTCAACCAGTTGACAACAAAAGTATTGTCCCCACAATTTCGAGTCACCTAGACTACTAACCGTATTGTAACTTAATCAATAGAACTTGGTCAGCACCGAAAACGACAAGACAATCATAACACTGGCAACTGTTAAGTTATTAATCAAGGACTGTTTAAATGTCAACAAGTTTGTACATATTTTCACTGCGGTGATATATTACAGCAGCAGAATAGATGTTATATAGCCCAACACAAACCTGTATAAATAACGAAAGAGGTCCATTGTATCATTGTAGAAG